AGAAGAAAATGAAAGTGTATTTATTTCAACACAATGAGCTTGTTGGTCTGCATTAGTGTTTCTTCCCGCCTCTACTACACACATAAATACAAACATTAGTGTGTTCTTTTCAGAATCGGGTGCGCTTGTTTTTGAAAATATCAGCCATTTTTGAAAAATGAATCAAGAAAGAAATATAATATAGGTCATTAATGCGAATTTACAAAAACGTTCGTTTTTAATGTTCTCGGGAAGTGCCATAAACTGATTTATTTTCACAGGAAGTGGTTACGTAATTGAGAAAAAGGAAACGCATAGCGTAACTATCACTTCCCATTTGCATTATGTAATGAGGTAATTTGTTGAAATGGTTAAAGATTATGCTTCGTAGTGTAAAGAAACGATTGAAATAATAACAGGTTCTCTGATAATAGAGTAGAATAACTCTGACCAATTATATTATTTAATTAATTTGACCGTGACTCTCTTGACCTCTTATTTACGTATACTGGGTTTATTTGTGAATGAGTTCCAACGTTAATGACACTGCTGATTCAGAAAAACGATATGCTATAGCCACACGTCTTCGGAGAAATTGAAGCTAACACCTTCCTTGAACTGATTCTGTGTTCCTGAATTCGCTCGCCCAGCTCGCAGGAATTGAATAGGAAAAACTCAAGTTGATATGTTAGTATTCAATCATGATGGCTGAGACATAGAAACAACAATAATAATAATAATAATAGTAATTGTAATTGTGATAGTAATAATAATAGTAATAGTAATAAAATGTCTGTATAAACAACAGTTTCTATTTTCCTTATGTATACAATTCGAAGAGAACTTCCCTACCAAATCAACATGGATTGCACAGGCGACACATTGGTTCATCGAACAAGCGACAACTCTTGAGGAAGCGTGTGCTGCCTGGGGCAGCTCCGAAAAGGGTACTCTCCGCTTACCCAAGCCGAGAAAAATCAGTAAATGATATAGCGAGAATGATAGTAGTGGATGGTAAAAATGACACAACAGTGTGAGAAACACATTGAGCAACCGCATTTCGTCCTTTGCATGCCTTTGCTCAAATCTCCGCCACTGTGACTTCCGCCCGGCGAAAGTGCGGTGTTGTTGCGGGCGGTGAAATGGCGACTGCAAAAAGCACCCACCGCCGCCCTGCCACTTTCGCTGAGCGGGTGGCGGGTGGGGCGGGCGACGGGCAGCCGTGGGCGGTGGGTGGGCGGGCGGCGGGCAGGTCCGTGACGCACACGGGAGAAAGGCCTGAGGTGATTTCTCGCCTGGTCATAGCACTATTGCCACTGCGAGCCACCTCGTCCTCCCTTGACACTACGTAATGCAAGGCTGGTACACTAGCCGCTTCCACCTCCACTACGCACAGGGATATTGCGATACTTGGCTGACCGACACTTTTGCTTTCCATACCGAGTGCTTGAGGTTAATATCGCACCCGTTTCGTTTGATAGTTTCAATCGATACTTATTGCACCCAAAGCAGGGCTGAGGCTGGACAGGCCAATGAACTAATGATTCCTATGTCTCACTTCCTAAGATTACCTTGCGTTGTTTCCCTTATTGCACCCTAGATTACTGATGCTTCTCCATCTTTTGTATGCTCATCTGTTTTGTCTCCTTCCACCTGAGACACTCTCCCCCCTCTCTCTCTCTCTCTCTCTCTTTCTCTCTATACACACACACACACACACACACATGGTGGTGTGGGTGGGAATGTGGCTATGATTTAATTTGGATTCAATGTCCACGTGTTCTAAGATGCTGTTTTCATCATCAGCATTTGCTTGCTTTCTATTTAATATTAATTTAAGTGATCATTATTTCTGGTCATGAAATCTGTTCTCAAAAAACAAAGTTTCGAGGTGTTCTCTCTAGGCACTGTTTTGAAATTGAGGTAGATACTTCCGAAATATCACAACATCCCTGAGTATCGCCTCAACTGTTGCTACTTCAATCGCTAGCACCCCTACCCCACCACCTCCACATCCACCGTCACATTCCACCGCCACCTCCACCGCCACCTCCGACGCCACCTCCGACGCCACCTCCGACGCCACCTCCGACGCCACCGCCACCGCCACCGCCACCGCCACCGCCACCGCCACCGCCACCGCAGTTACTGCTTGCGACTCCACCTTCGTCCACTCCGCCTCCTCCCGAGCCGCCGTCCACCGCACACGGCCTTGCGGTCGCCACGTGATACAGCCATGAATTCCGACGGAAGTTTCTTTATCGGACATCACGATGTGTTGTCGAGGCAAAAAGTAAAGATAATGAAGGGAGATGAGAGAATAAATTACTTCCTTCTTTATTAAAAAAATGCGCTCTGTATTTATAGCTCGATTATATAAATACACCGATGCATATTTATTATATTCTTACAAAATTGCTCTACAATTAAGTCATTTAGATCAAGAGTGAGGAAGACGTTTTATATTGTATCAAGAACTACGAAAGTGTGAAGATAGCCCAGACATTCTTTTGTAGAGGCGGGAAGAGTCGGCGTCGTGAAATTCGAGAAGTTCTGAGTAAGCAATCTCTGAAAACTGAGTAATGGATTCAAGTCCTGCACTTTTACGGTGTCTAACCATGTCATGTTCTTCGTACTCTAAACGATGCTTTGATCTCTCCGGCGATTCTGCAAAGGTTGTTTGATTTTTTCTAATGTTTTGGCTCAAATCTATGCCAGTGAGCAACTGTACATTTAGACGTGTTTGGCGTTTTAGGGTCGGATTAATTCGACTCTGCCCAGCTAGAGATGGGCCTTCTTTTTATTTAGTTGTCACGCCTGCGGTGTAACCGATACATGTGGCGAATATGACATCACTCAGCTGTAGGAACTGAGACGACTGTACTAGAATGCTACGTATCTATTTTTGACCCTGTTTTATATGATGAATGCGAAGGTAAACGAAACATCAAAGAATGCAAAAGGAACTAGAAAGAATATCAAAGAATAACACGTCAAAATTCGCTGACGCTTTTTCCACAAGGCGGTATACCACAGAAGCTACATTTAGAACTGGCCGCAGATTCGAGCATGAGTAGTTGGCAAGAACATCGGTCCACGCGGATTAAAAGGTCATTATAAGCGGCGGGGGGGG